GGGGTTTATCCTCTTTTATTGTTATACAGTATTTCATTAATAAACATATAGAAATTTATAATTAAAAAATTCAATTTCCTTTTTCCTTTGAGCTGAAACAATTATTTTCCACAGAAATATCACTCTGAATGGTGCGAATTCGAATAATGTGACCATTTCATGGCATCCATTAACTGCACTAATAGAGACCTACTTGTATTTATCTATGAAAAGTACTTCCCCAACTGCGTCTAGCATAAATAATATTTACTGAAATTTTATTTTTATTGTTAACCTTGAGACAGGCCTAATTGGATCATCCATACAAACAACATCATCAGCACGTGTGCAAAGAACACACTAAAACAACAGCTCTCCTCATTTTGTTCCCTCTAAGGGATTACAGAAAGAGGGAGACAGAAACCAGTGCCTGTGAAGATTTGTCTTCAACAGAAAAATTAACTGTGATTTTGGAACACAGAGGGAAAGAAATGCTTACGTTTTTCTTCTCAAAATCTTTTTTTTTCTTCACAGCTTATAGCTGCTTCCTATGAGGATTTGATCTCAAATAAGCTCTCAACATTATGTTCTTTTTACATTTTAAGTAAGACTTGCACAAAGTATATACACATTTTGTAGCAGGGGTGAAGACTGTAACAGTAATTAAGCTATTAGGACCAATTATTTACACATTCCAGTTATGATCACTTCTACTAACATAATCCCCATGTATTTCCATCTGGGAGAATCTTCCAGCCAGAGCAGCATATGTAACAACTATATACGGATAGTCCTCAACTTACAACCATTGATTTAATGACCATTCAAAGTGATGGCAGTGCTGAAAAAAGTGACTTATGACCAGTCCTCATCCTTATGACCGTGACAGTCATGTGATCAAAATTCAGAGACTTGGCAACTGGCATGTATTTACAATGGCTGCAGTCCGGGGTCACGTTATCACCATATGCAACCTTCCCAGGGGGCTTCTGACAAGCAAAGTCAATGGGGGAAGCGGGATTCGCTTAATGACCTAATGATGCAGTCATTCATTTAATGATTGCAAAAAAAGGTCATAAAATCGGGTGTGACTCACTTAACGATCACATCACTTAATGACAGAAGTTCCCGTCCCAATTGTGGTTGTAAGTCGAGGACTACCTGTATGTGCAAGTCACTCAATGTACATGCAACAATTTATGAGCGCACAGAAATTGCTACATGTGATAATATATATTCAGGCTAAATTTTAGAGATTCAGAAGAGGACAGGATTTTATCTTATATAAAGACCCAATTAGAACTTGTAAAAAGATGTTTTACTTAAAGGCCAATGGTTTAATTTCCAATATACATTAATCTAGTCTTACAATTACCATTTGTATAATGTAATATGATAGCTAACAATATATCAAAGCTATTTATTTTTCCTAAAAAGAGGATCAGATGTTCAAAGAATCATTTATTGAAGATGCTAAATATGTTCAAACATCTAATAATTTTTTGCAGGCAATTGATACATTTGTGAAACCTTTTAATTACAATGGAAACTCCTCCTCTAATTTGGGGTGATGGATTAAGGTTAGGTTGTTTCACGTTCTACCTTCACTAAAGTCTCCGCCTTGAATTATGAAGCTTTTAACCACACGGTGGAAAGTTGAACCTTTGTACCAAAGCTTTTTTCCAGTTGTTTTCCCAATTCCCTTTTCACCTATAAGGAGGAAATATACGTAAACTATGAGCAGCATTACAATCCATTAGGTCAAATTGAAGTGAACTATTAAGATACTGCAACTTGGTCTCATATCACATGTAACCTAAAACTAGTAAGTGGTGACAATGCCACATGTGTGCCCAGCAGGTAAACATGACTTCTAAATCACCATCTACATTTGGCAGAGCTTCAATGCTTCCATTCCACATGGAAGATGCTACTACTAGCAGCTGCAAACAGTGAGGCCATTTTTTACTGCCAATTAAGACTTCATTAAAATAGCAGGAAGAAGTATTGCCCTAAGATCAGACTACGTGTTTCACTGTTAACAAGCCATAGCTAGATGGTTTGGCAGATGAATTTCTCTGGCATGGAGAGTTCACCACTTACGAATGTTATGGTTAAAAAGGATATGTGACCAGGGCCCCACAAATCAACTGGCTGAAGAACACCCAGGTTTTCCTACTCCTTGCTAACTCTCCCACCTCTTTACTAGAAAGGTTTAATGACACTGATAAGGCGTGGTCAAGCTGATTAGCAGAAAATCATATTTTCCCACTGCTTGGCTATCTCCCTCTAGGACTGTGCTAAAGAAAAGATTGACACAATACAAATGGGATGTTGAAATTCCTGGGCTCAGATGAAATTCCAGGTTCATTTGACCATAGGGGACAAGAGCCAATTCTGCACTGTATCTCAACTCTGTAACATTCAAATATACCCAGTATCAAATTTAACTCTGCAAAAATAATATTTAGAAATTCCGTTTTTATTACTTTGTTCTAGCTCAACAGAAGAGTATACTGTCCACTTTTGTAGCATACTTCAGTGCATTCCTAAGCCTAACGAACAGGACATTTCCAAAAAGAGATTCTGCAATAAACATCTAAGAGGCCTCTAATGCCCTAAGGGAGATTTACATTTATTACTCTGTAGGAACAGACCATAATAATGTGAAAACAGGACTCTGCACATTACAGAGCTTTTTTTAAAATCTGGTAAGCACAATTTCTGGCACGCAAAGGAAGAAACAAACAGGCATGTGTGCCTGACCTTGTATTTCTCTTCTGAGTGGCTCCATGGATAAGC